TTCATTGCCTCTACTACAGGTGTGGGGTGGGATTACTGGCAAACACAGAAAATGCATGGGCCCCTCCTAGAATCCCAAAACTGGCCATTCATAAAATGTTTTTTCAGAGCCTCTCTGATCTGCGCTGCCCCAACCTGTGCTCTCCTTATTGCCAGGGCTCGATAAGCTATGTAATTTACTCGCCCATGGCAAGTAGATTATTCATTGCCTCTACTACAGGTGTGGGGTGGGATTACTGGCAAACACAGAAAATGCATGGGCCCCTCCTAGAATCCCAAAACTGGCCATTCATAAAATGTTTTTTCAGAGCCTCTCTGATCTGCGCTGCCCCAACCTGTGCTCTCCTTATTGCCAGGGCTCGATAAGCTATGTAATTTACTCGCCCATGGCAAGTAGATTACATCCCAGAAGAGCCAGGTTTGGGTGATCTGCACATGCGCAGAATGCCGGACAGCACGGCTGGCGAGTGGGGCTCTATTCTTGAAAGTTTCTCCCTTGCTCTTGAAAAGATAATGGAGCACACAACAGGCTGCCACCACAAAGGGAATATTGCATTTACTATGGTCCAACCTCATCAGGAGACTCCTAAACCTTCCTTTTAAATGCCCAAAAGCACATTCAAGTACCATTCTGCACTTGCTCAGCCTGTAGTTGAACCACTCCTTACTGGGCTCCAGGTTGCCCAGGTACAGCTTCATGAGCCATGGGAACAAGCAGTAGGCTGGGTCACCAATGATCACTATTCTCATGTCTACCTCTCTGATTCTGACTTTCTGATCTGGGAAAAAAGTTCCAGTGTGCATCTTCCTAAAGAGGCAGGAGTTCCTAAAGATGCATGTGTCATGCACCTTTCCCGACCATCCCACACGGATGTTGGTGAAACAGTCTTTGTAATGCGCCAGGGCCTGCAGCACCATAGAGAAGTACCCTTTGCAGTTTATGCACTCTGTGGCAAGGTGGTCAGAGGCCAAGATAGGGGTGTGTATTCCATCTTTTGCCCCACTGCATTTAGGGAACCCCACTGTGGCAAAGCCATCCACTATGGCAGGGCTGCGAAACCTTTTTTGTGTCAGGGCTGCTGACACAC